GACCTTGTTGATGATCCAAACTCTGTCAAGGATCTTGGAGTTCTCATCTCTAATGATTTGAGTGCTAGAGCCCACTGTAACTACTGTACATAGCCAAAAAGGCGTTAAGAGTTGTTAACCTAATCTTACGTAGCCTTTTCTCTGGTAATATTACACTAATAACTAGAGCATACAAAACATTTGCTAGACCAATACTCGAATACAGCTCATCAGTCTGGAACCCACATTACGTATCTGATATTAACACAGTTGAGAAAGTCCAGAAATATTTCACAAGAAGAGTTCTCCACTCCTCTACTCGTTGCAGAATACCTTATGCCACCAGACTCGAAATTCTAGACCTAGAAAATCTAGAAATGACACTGCCTTCGGTCCAATCTAAGTATAGTATATAAAATTATACATTGCAATGTCCTACCTGTCAACGAATACTTCAGCTTCAACCATAACAACACAAGAGCACACAATAGATAAAAACTCAAGGTAAACTAAGCCTTCGTATATGCCTTGGTTTTCCAGGTCAATTTTGTCTTTGGGGTTTCTGAGGATGGCTGCTATTTTTCTGTCTGTTTTGAAGGCAGTCTTGATGTGGTGTCTGTATAGTATCTTACTAATTTTGTCTGTAGTGCCTCTTATGTAGGGCAGGACAGCTGTTCCATGGGTCTGTTCATCTTCTGGGTCTCTATTATGTCTCAGTGTGTTTTTGTGGATCAAGTTGGTGATTTTGCTTTTGTGGAAGCCGTTGGCTGTCAATATTTTAGTCAGGGTGCATAGTTCAGTCTTAATGTGTGTCTTGTCTGCCAGGCGTTTGGTTCTAGTAATTAGTGTTTTAGCCACGGAGTTTATCTGTGCTGGGTGGTGGTGGGATTGGGCGTTGAGGTAGCGGTTGGTGTGTGTTTTCTTCTGGTATATGGTGTGTCCTAGTGTGCCATCTGTTTTTTTGTAGATTAGTACATCTAGGAATGGTAGTTGTTTGTTTCTGTTTCCATGGTGAACTTGATTTTGGGGTGTGCGCTGTTTAGGTGTGTTAGGAAATTGTTTAGGTTTTCTTGTCCATGGGGCCAAATCACGAATGTGTCATCGATGTATCTTAACCATAGTTTGGGTTTGAGGATGGCATTGGCCAGGGCTCTGGATTCGAATTCTTCCATGAACAGGTTTGCAATGACAGATGACAGTGGTGATCCCATGGGGGCTCCTTCTATTTGTTTGTATCTTTGTCCTTTGTGTATGAAATATGTGTTGGTTAAACAGTGTTCTGTTAGTTCCATGAGGTGTTTAGCTGGTTGGTATTTATTTTTGATGATTTCAAGGGTCTCTTTGATCGGGACTTGAGTGAATAGTGAAACCACGTCAAAACTTACAAGCAGATCTTCTTGCTCCACGTGTAGATCTTTGATCATTTCCAAGAAGTGGTATGAGTTTGAACTATGCACCCTGACTAAAATATTGACAGCCAACGGCTTCCACAAAAGCAAAATCACCAACTTGATCCACAAAAACACACTGAGACATAATAGAGACCCAGAAGATGAACAGACCCATGGAACAGCTGTCCTGCCCTACATAAGAGGCACTACAGACAAAATTAGTAAGATACTATACAGACACCACATCAAGACTGCCTTCAAAACAGACAGAAAAATAGCAGCCATCCTCAGAAACCCCAAAGACAAAATTGACCTGGAAAACCAAGGCATATACGAAGTCCCCTGTGCATCATGCCCGGCCACATACATTGGACAGACCAATAGAAGAATAGGCACCCACCTGGATGAACACAAAAATGCAGTCAAAAAGCTGGAACACACTTCCTCACTAGTCCAACACATGGAAGCCACAGGTCATAGAATCAACTTCGATGGCACCAAAACCCTAGCCACTATAGAAAATCCCAGCCACAGAATCATCAGAGAAGCCATAGAGATTGAAAAAAGACCAGAAAGCATGAACAGAAGAGATGATTCCACCAGGCTGTCAATCATTTGGAAGCCTGCACTCACAAACAAAAAAATCTCCACACCACAAGCCAGGCAAACACCTGGGCACAAACAGATCCCCCCTGATACCTCCAGCTCAAACACACCCCAACCAGGCACCCAGATGAAACCCAGCTTCCTAACTAATGATAGCCGTCCATTTACCCGAAGCCAAGCTGCACTAAAGGCCTCCAATAAAGTAACACAATGTTGCCAGCCAATCAAGATACAAAAAGAGCCAAAAAAACAGACAGAAGATATTAGAAGCAGAACACAGCAAACTCCAAGACCAATAAACACAGACCAAGACTCTCAACCAATCAGGATGAAGAAAAAACCATTCTGGCACAGCAATAGGCTGCCCCAAATTTAAATCTGAAACCACTGTAAAAGTCTGACTCACAGACGGACACAATACAGAAGCCTGATGATGGCAGATGAGATTCTGCTGAAACGTTGCTACAACTTTAAAAGCACCACTACTATGACGTGGGAAAATACCCGAACAAAGCTGAAGGCCATACATGTAAGTACCCGCGAAAACTTAAGAATATACATATATATATATATATATATATATATATATGAAATCAATTAATAGAGAGTGAAATACATTAAAAATAGGCCTTTCATTTAAATGCTTTCCTGTGATAATATAAGATAAAAAAGAGATTTCAGACATTTTAGCTGGTTGCCAGTAGAAAAGATTTTTAAAAGTTGAAGTTCATTTCAGCAGCTAATATATTTCCTTTGAGCACTTTCCTTCTTTCATTACCTTAATCTGACAATGTGATAGCAAAGGAATAATGTAGAAAGCATCCATTATATTTTCATCTTAAAGATATTAATGAAGTACAGAGATGAAGCTACTGAAAAATAATTTAGAAACTAAGACCTAATTCAACCCTCTCTTATTCCTGAAAAAGTACCATATAACTAGGAAGTTATATTATATATAGCCAACCATACAGAGGCTAATCACACAGTGGGGAATTGAAGGCAATGCTCAAAAGCATTTTCTGTTGATTAATTCTCATGCTATCAGGGTTCTTTTTAAAGATTTGTAGCCACCCTTCTTCATATCCTCAAGAAGGATATGCATATTTCTTAGTGAGGGCAAAAGGAGCAATAAGGTGTTATTGCTGCTTGCATCTCTATTTTGTTATTTACCACTGAGGTGTGTTTGTGTGTGTGTGTGTGTGTGTGTGTGTGTGTGTGTGTGTATTTCTCTCTCTCTGTGTGTTTTAATACAAGTTTATTGTCTCACATATGCTCTCCTAAAAATAAATTCTAGTTGGCTTTCAAACAGGCAACACACACATGCTTGCTTCTATAATTCAAGGTAAAGACTGTTCCAATAATAATCTATAAATTAATTATGGAGGAAAGGAGAGTCTCCTTATATTTTCAAATGTTTCTGCATTGTGCAGCTCCCACCAATTGAGTGCAAATAAAATTTAGCATGGTACTATAAACTTCCAAAGGCTATAATACCCAATGAAGTAATGTTAGAAATGCCACTGTACTAGGTTTTCTTGGTAGCTCATGATGTGAAAGCAGTTATGGTTCCATGTTATCACCACATAATTGGGTTTTGGCTACATGGCAATTTCAAGCATATTCCAACATATTCCATTTCTATCTAAATAATAGTAATACCAGTTGGTGATCATTTCATACAGGTATTGTTCAATAGGACTGAGCACTGAATTCCTTCTATTGTCTACTGTAACGCATTCTAATTTCTTTTTTCTTCAATCTATGCTGAAAATGCAAAGAATTTGTACAGTAATGCCAAATCTTAACTAATCTTTTCTATTAATTTTCAAAAAGTAAGTAGGTCAATAATGAAGTTGAGATGGTGAGAAGCAGACTGGATTTATGGAAACAGCACTGATCACCGTGAAGCCTTTAATCTTTGCTTACTTTTAAAGCTGCCTCTTAATGAAGAAATATAGTTGAGAAACGGACAGCAAATGAATAAAGTTTAAACAGGCATTAAAAAGAAACTGGAGGCACAGCGAAGAAATACACAAAATGTGCTTGCAAGCAGGTAATACTAATCTGCAGAATCAGCAAGTGGGGGCAAAAATCAATTAATTACTTAGGACTCAAAATGTGAAGTAATCCTCTTTTCATTTAATTTAAATTCCTTTTAAATCACATCTTTTCTCCTTTGGGACGAACAAATCTTTCCCAGATGTCACCTTGCTTATGTGACAGTATTTTGGTAAGACTAATTTGTATCCATGTGAAGTCACAGGAGTTCATGATACAGTATTGTGTGTATTATGCAAATATGACTCTTGTTTAAAAAGTGAGAACTTTCAGATGTCTACATTTTCTATTTTATTCTATATAATAGAATGAAAAAAGTCATTTACGGCACTGTTATGCTTTGGCTTATCTTAATATAAATACCTGATGGTCCTATTTACTCTTTATAATCCTTCTGTTAACATTATCTGTTTAAGAAAATGACCAGACTGTTTTTCTATGAAATTTTAGCACACTTTTGAAATAAACTTCCAGTTTCCATGCAGTGTGTTGGAAAGTTGAAATGCTCAAAACTGAAATATGCACATTAAAAAGAATTATATATTTCAAATGCATTGATAAACATATATTGATTTAATAAGATATAGAGTCATTGTGAATTTTTATGCGATAACTGTGTAGATTTTGATATTTACCAAAGTTGTCCCATTTTTACATTTAAAAATAAGTAGAGATAAATGTGCAATTTTAAAATATTTTTCTTCTACTTGTCTAAAGAAATATTATTTCAAAACTAATATTCAGGAGGTTCAAAGCAGTAGAATTGAATAATTATAAATTAGAATTAATATTTATGAATAGTTTTGTAGTAACTGATTTTTAAAATAGAGTTTGTTTAGAACAGAAATTTCTTGTATTTTAACTTTAAAAAATTGTAATTTTATTATTAAGTATTTGCAATGTCATTTAAAATCAATATTTTTCATAGGCTTTTTAAACTGCTATTATGTGGTTCTTGCTTACCTGTATGGTAAAACTTTCCTGAAAATCCAAGGTTGAAGGTAAAATTTGCAACCTGAGTGCGTAGTAATACTTGAGTCTCCAGTAAAGCCTGAAAAAAACATATAGGGGAAGAAAGGAATCTTTAGATGTTATGAAAACTGACAAAATTTATCACCTGTACACTGATAAGTAGCCCTCTCCCCATATATGATGGATATAATATCAATTCATAGAAAGGCATCTTTATATATTGTTCCACAAGCCCTTATTTATGCAGTTCCTAATAGATTGGTCTCCACATAAGCTGAGAATTTGATGAAGAACACAAGGAATCATCAGGATGTTTACGCAACAACCTGAATTTAGACCATTCGAAATAATGGGCATCAGTGGTGGGATTCAAATTTTTTTACTACTGGTTCGGTGGGCATGGCTTGGTGGGCGTGGCTTGGTGGGCACGGCAGGGGAAAGATACTGTAAAATCTCCATTCCCTCCCCACTCCTAGAGGAAGGTTACTACAAAATCCCCATTCCCTCCCTACCTCACTAACCCTGCTTTCCAGCTCCGTTCTCCTGTGCAGGACAACAAAAGAAGACTCAGCTGATCAGGAGACGGGGAATAGATGGAGGCTGGGCCAGTCAGAGGTGGTATTTGCCGGTTCTCCGAACTACTCAAAATGTCTGCTACCAGTTCTCCAGAACTGGTCAGAACCTGCTAAATACCACCTCTGACGGGCATACTTTTGGACCATTACTTTATATATAAACAATATAAACTTACTAACTCCTACACATATTTATATCTAGGATCCACTCCAAACTTACTGATAAATCTATTGTCTACAATGAATCATAGTCATAACTGAAGGATTTGCAATAGAATTCTTTCATTCTGTAATACGCATTAATAATGAAAATAATGAACCAAAGACCAGAATAATAACTATGTTAAATATTAGACAATATGTCACAACACAGTGAGTTATATTACCTTTCAGTTGTGTAAAATCTGTTATCAGTTAATGCAAGGTGTAAAGTCAAGTGACCAGTTCAAAGTGGATCAGAAAGATACTAGTGCTGCCCTCCTGCCTTTGCTGCCTTTACCAGCCAGGACAAAAATTAGAAGATTGATTTGATAGTTCTTTTTTGTATATAGCACTGGCCTCATTTGGGAGAAAGGGCATTATGAAAATAAAACACAACAACAACAGTAATAATAGTAATCATGTTTTGAAAGAAATTTGGGTGAATTCAATAAAATGAATATTATAATTTATCTTAGAAGTTGAAATAATATTGATCTTATTTTTAATGCATTATGAACTTCCCTGAAAGTTCATAATGAAAGGAATTATTGCAAAATATAATATTCTGACCACAGATGTAGTTCAACTCTGACAAATTAAATATCATAAGCAAACTCTTAATCAGAAATGTCTGCATTCAAAATGTTTCAAGTAAAAAATGCCCAGTTTAGTTATTTATATTCTACAATATAATCAAATAAGCACTTGTGTTGTTAAGAAAGTTTCTAAATTGGCGAGCTCATTATATTAATTTTTATTTGAACCAATATTATATTTATTCCTTCATATAAGCATATGCTTTGGCCTCCATAGAATAAGACTTAGTTTTATATTCTGTCTGTACTCAACAGGGTTAGGGTTTCAACAATATTGTTGTTATTATTTGAGTTGCCTTGTCTTTAGTCTTTATAATTGCTGCATCTATTAAGCAAACATGATATTTTTTCACAATGTTCTTGTTAATTACAACTATTTGCATAATACAACTTTGGAGGCTAGTTCTCTAGGAACATTTCATGGCTAATAGGAAGCAATTTGCTTTCCTTTATAAAGTACATTAAAACTTCATGCCCCAGACATCACTGACTGTAAACATTTGATTCTGCTCAAATTTAATGCACCAAGGCATTTTGCTCTGCCATATTAGCTTTATTTATATGCTGTGTTCTGGATTGTTAGCTACTAATGAGACTTCAGCTCTTATGGCTCTAAGGCCTGAGCACTAACCTCATTTTAATGAGATCATTATTTGCTGTCTCCAAATGGAAGACAACAAATTTGCCTTTTAATTAAAGGTCAAAACACCTCTAGCTAAGGAGAGTGAAGAGGTTATCAAATCCTTTGAGAAATTCAAGGAACTTTTTTTCCCCTTTCCTTTATTTCTGTGCCAAATAGACTCAGTTGGCCATAATTACTTATACAGCCTTAGGTTGGATACAGCTCTAAATATGAGCTAAGTGAGAATAACTCTAAATTCTAGAACTATTAATCTCAAGACAGGGTAAAAAGCAAACCTCAACCAAAGTAATTAAAGAAGCTTTACTCCTAACCTAAAGGTCCATGTGGATCAATATCCCAGTTAAAGCAGGAGCTGCTTGTTTACATGTGAAATTCCAGTTTAATTTAGCTAAAACTCATGTTTCTTATCTGGAAAAATATATTCAATGCCAGTGATATGCATAGCTATGATTAAGTGAACGCTTTTTCTCCTTATGCATGTATACTAATATACTTATATTAACATATGGACAGTTCTGGATCACAGTTATGATAGCCCTATTATGAGAAATGTTTGTGATCCTTCCATTATATTTAGCAATAAATATATTGAAACGGTTATTTAAAAAGTTGTCAAACAAGCGGAGACAGGCATCATTGGTCATTTCAGACTAGGCGAGGGAAACAATGCAGGTGATTGCTTGGTACAATTTTGCCAAGAAAACAGATTTAGGATCATGAATATATGCATAATATACAGCATAAGTGCTGCTTGCACAATTTGACCTCATCAAATGCACTTCACTGAAATCAGATTGAATGTGTCCTATGCAGTCTTTGATGGACAAATTCAGTCCTTGCTGTTAAGACAGTGATCCCCAACCTTTTTTATGCCGCGGCCCGGTACCGGCATCAGCTGGGCGCTGCGGCCCGGTACCGGCATCAACTGGGCGCCGCCATCTTTTTTTGATGAAAAAGTGCTTCCGGTGACCTCACTGGAAGCACTTTTTCATCAAAAAAGATGGCGGTGCCAGCGCTTCCGGTGAGCTTTTCCAGGTAGAAATGGCTTTCTACCCGGAAAAGCTCACCGGAAGCACTTTTTTATCAAAAAAAGATGGCGGTGCCCAGCAATCAGCGGCCCGGTAAGACTTGTTCCGTGGACCGGTCTCGGTCCGCGGACCGGTGGTTGGGGACCCCTGTGTTAAGACATATCCAAGTGCTGATTTCAGTTCAGATCATGAATTGTTGGTGGTAAAGATTAAAGTCAAAAGGCAGGGACTCCAAAGAAGTTTGATGTCACCAAAATACTTACTACATATACAATAGAGGTGAAAAACAGGTTTGAATTACTGGGCATTGCTGAGAAGATGCCAGATGAACCATGGCAGGAAATTCAATGAATGATGTAAACAGCTTAAAGGAGACTACACAAAGGGTCACACAGGAATGCATTTATGCAAGTCAGAAAGCTCTGAGCCCCATTTATTGCTCGTAAAGGCATCATTAGAAACAAGCAAGGGAAATTACTGTGTGACCAACAAGGCATCAAGAACAGATGGTGAGAATATACAGAACAGCGGTATGCAGGTAGCAAAGGGACCCAATCTCAGGATGATGAGAAAAGAGAAGTAGAAATTGAACCGGCCATCCTTGAAGAAGAGATCATATGGGCAAAAAAATCAAGTATCAAACAACAAGATTCCAGGCACTGATCTATCCCTGCAGAATCACTGAGTCCTGTACTAGAGACTCAGAGACCTGAAAATAGAACAGTCATCCTTGAGAAAGTTATCATCTGGGTGGTGACCCAACTTGCCAAATAAGAAAGACTCCAAGTGTTGACACCACCCCCTGCAGAATTACAGAAACCTCTACTACCCACAATCAGAAAGTCTGTGCCAGAAAATTTGGGAAACCAACATGTGGCCACAGGATTGGAATCGCGAAGTGTTCATTCTATTGCCAAAAAAGACGGACTCTAACATTGTTCCAATTTATTTCACAATTGCTCACACCAGCAAGATTCTACTTAAAATTATGCAATGACTAGCACTAACCATCAAAAGAGAATTGTCAGATGTCCAAGCTGGCTTCAGAAGGGGTCATGGCAATATTGAAAATCTGCACTGGATCATGGAAAAACCTTGTGAATATCAAAAGATCATTTTCATGTGCTTCTTCGACTACAATAAATTCTTTCAATGTGTTGATCATGAAAAGCTATGGAGAGGTCTACAAAACCTGGGGTTACAAGCACATCTGGTCAAGTTGATGCAATTACTGTATGAAGAAGAAGCCCCTGTGCAAATACCATATGGAAACACCGAGTGTGACAAGGTTGCATTTTCTACGCTTTCATATTCAATCTGTATGCCAAAATGATCAGGAGGAATCTAGGACTTGAAGAATCAGAAATCAGAATAAATATTGGAAGAAGAAACATCAACAATCTTCGGTATGCTGAGAATATAAGTCTCCTCTCAGAAAATAAAGAAGGCCTGGAACACCGGATCAAGAAAATCAAAGAAGAAAGTAAGAATTTTGGTCTCTCCCTGAACATCAAAAAGACCAAGCTAATGACCACTGCAAGAAATGGAAACATCAAAATAGTTATTGAATGTGGGGAAAATTCATTTTCTTTGGATTCCTAGCACAAAAATAAAATGTTGGATTGCCCCAGGTTGCATATCAATGATGAACATGAGCTGAATATGGAAAAGCAAAGAGATCAGTGTCACAACCAAATGTAGTTTAACCCACTCTATTGTGTTCTCCGTAGCTATTTATGGTGTTCAGAGTATTGCAGCACAAAAGTAAACACCGATGACTGATGCTTCATTTAACTTCTTTATAAACATATGAAGTAAACTTTACAACACCAGTTGTAGATTTCTCCAGCATGGAGCAAACTCAAACAGAAGCAGACACGTTACAGGTTCCGAGCAGAACAGCAACTCAGGACCTCAGAAACAGACATCAGTTTCATTTTAGTTCAGCAGGCAAGCAAACAAGTTAGTATCTCTTTCACTTTAGAGCTGAGCACAGAACAGAGGTAAACTATGCCCAGATTCTCTCTTTACGTTTC